ACCCAGGATACCTTCTGTGCATTCAAGTGAAATTCTGAAAATTAAATTATCCGAATAAAGGGACCTGCAAACCACTCTTGTGCTTTAAGCTGAGCGGCTCAAACAGTTTGCCTCCCAAATACCCACGTTTTCACAATTTTTTGCACTCATTTAGTCTCCAAAAAACAAACAGTTGTGGAAAAGTTACCACTTATGAAACATTGGCAAATGTAAAGTTAATTGTTTCAAAATTCAGTGCTAATGTAATTCAGTAAGGTGGACAAAAGCCGTATAGGATCTACACTGCCTACCGTAGTCGCATTTAAAATTGCAAACCTATAAATATTCCCTGAAATTAGTGCAGTCTTTTTTCTGCAGAATAAGCAGGAGACCTGACATTTATTTAACGAGAATAGGAAAGAAGGTGGATATTCCCATCATTAGTGGTGACCCCTCGACAAATTTGTTAAATGTCAAAGGTACAAGTCGATGATGCAATCTGGCATGTCGATATGATATTAAGCGAAGTGAAGGGAAACGCATGTAAGAAAGTACCAAAATTAAGGAAAAAGGTATGTCGGTTCGCCCAAATCCAAAGTCAGCCCTCATTCAGGCGAGGTACGCAAAATAAAACAACGGATAGAAAGATTCCGAAATAAAAAGTAATTACTAAAAAATAGTGTTTGTAGTGAAATGACTTAGCATAAATACTCCAGACACCTACTAGAGGGCAGGAGGGGGTCATGCAATATTGAGGCCAAAGTTCAAATAACCACACATTTAAAAAAAACAAAACTTGGTACCAAACACACCATAATTACTTTTATGCACTAGGCCGTTAATAGGGACACGCAGTATGAGGAACCATACTCACCTTTGAGATTTCGTACTGCGTGGCGTAGAGGAGGACAGAAAGACCAGCAACAATTCCGGCCTCGAGCATAGGTCGGTGGTTATCGACATTCATGGAGAGGTTGCGTAGTAAACCCACCACCGCCTTGATAAGGGTCCACGAAGTGAGAGGATTGTGCGGCGGCTGACAGACGAGACCGAGTTCAGGACATACACCCGCCGTCGCGGCGTGCAGAACGTGGGCAACGGGAATGTGACCACCGAGCTGGGTTACGAATTCATTACGTGCCTTCTCTTCCTCTTCGTGTCGACTTGTTAGATGGCGCAGTGCACACATACTGGGCTCCAGGATTTCCTCCTTTGCATGACAGTGCCCCAAAGCGTGCAGCAGGCCACGCAGACCTCCCCTCTAAATGTCAGATTATGAGAAACAAGGAGAACCTTACCCTATAAACAATTAGCTTGTTAGCGCTATTATTACACGTTAGATTGGAGAGAATTCCAGCAGCGCAAGTGACGATGTTCAGATCATTGCTGCCAAGGAGCTGAACAACAGTCTGGAGGATGGGCTGGAGGTCGTTCAATTTGGTGGCAGCATCGGAGAGGTTACGAAGCGTCCACAGACAATTAAGCACCAGACGAGAGCTAGTATTATTTAGATGCTTTGCCAAAGCCTCCATCCCACCAGCTTCAATTATCACTGGTTTGTTCGAAGTACAGACACTAAGAACTTTTAGAACGCGTGCAGTGGTCCAGAGTAACTTCTCGTATTGGTAGGTATTCAAAATGCGGATGAGCTCAGTAGGACCACCTCCAGCAAGAATCTGGAGTTTGCTCTCCTGATGGCTGTAAGCAAGAATCTGCAGGCAGTCAGTGCAAATCGTAAGGAACTTGATGTTGTTCTTTTGCAGTAAAGAAGTCAGTTTCTGCAGGCATCCACTTTGTCGCACAACTGCCTTGGCACCTTCTTGATGAAGTAAAAGGTTGTGGAGAGTTGTTATGGCGTAAAACAAGACAGACTCAACAGGGGAGTTAAGAAGTCCCACGAGGCAAGGTACGCAATTAGCAAGAAAAATTTCCTAGAGATAGGCGCTTAGGATCAAACGGCTTACCTTGAGACCAGTTTGAGTTTGTGACATATTGTAGAGTGTACCAGCCAGAAGTCTGACAGTCTCTGGATCACCAGTAGGATCAAGTGCCGAAAGGATGCACGAAATCATTTCCTTGGACTGGATTAAGGCATCGATAGCCTCTGATTTGCTCAAATGAAACACCATTGTAGAAGCCTGATAGATTACAAACTTGTCATCTTCATCTTTGATAAGTCGCACGAGTTCAGGAATTGCGTTTTCAGCTTCATCGGTGTCAAGATCGGATATCTTATTTCCCCTCATATCCATTGTTGCATCGGATCTGGAGCAGGGCATACCAGTGACTTCGCTGTTGTGATCCATCCCAATGATACTGCTAGCACTCGGAGTGCCAGGGGAAAGTAGGCAAGACTCCGATGGATAGACAGACATAGGTCCACTAGATGACCAAGCAGGAACATAAGGGCCGGAGGCCTGACTCAGGATGCTTTCTTCGGGTTCAATTTCATCCAAATTTCCCTTGCTATTAATACTGGGTGTGTGAGTAGTTAATGCAGATTGTATGCCAGAATCCGCAAGATACTGATTTTGCTGCCAAAGTCGAGTTTGCTGCTTTTTATCAAGAGGCTGCATTGGCGCCTCTAATAAGTCATAAGTTTCAGACAAATAGGAGCAGCTCGAAAGTTCTCCACGGGGTTGATTAACAGATTTGCCTGTAGAATCAAAGTTGGCCATGATCTATAGGAGAGAAGGCAATCCTGAGGTTAAAAAGGACCAACACCCCAAAAATCGAAATCCATGGACGCCAAGGAATGACCTTGACACAAGTTTAATATCAATATTAACATAGCAAAATAATAACTTTGATTACTATTCTACCTGAATCTCATAAAATATCTATATAGAAATAATAATTCGTTGCCTGGTATGCGTAGATCAAGAGAAGAACATGTTCAACGTTTCTTTTGGTAATCGACTTGGAAAACAATGGGGATTATTATGGCACAACAACATTCTACTAATTGCTTAATAATGGTTCAGGTGAATGGCGCCTATAAGCCGCAACTAGCATGTTCATTTTTTGTATTTTTAACTAGTTTGAGGAATCATGGATACTTGCTTGCTTGCTGTGGTCAGGCCTTAGATGGATAGTTTCAATTAGTTAAAATGCTATTTAGCCAGCCGATAGTGTGTTTTGCCTATTTGCTTTCAAATACATTCTGTGAGGTATAGTCTTTGGATAATGTTCAGCTACTACTATTGTAGTGTCCTGAGACTTATCTTGGGTGGAAGAAGGCAGAAAGTGAAGTTAGATACATGTATTCCGAAGAGGACAGAGCAAATGGGCCTGAGCATGGCCTAAGGCCATGTAATATTTACTAGTGTTTAAGTTTGGAAGGCAGATCCTTTGCGTGAGGACCGTGAGGAATTCCTCTCCGAGTGATATCTGCTATTCGGCTCATCTATACTCCTATTTCGATGACTGGCTCTTTTTACAAAGACAGAGCTCAAACTCTTCAACCCTGCACAGAGAGTGCCGTTGCTACACCACGCCTTGCTCTGCGACCTACGTCGCGAAGCAATGGATGCGGGTATCACACTTTCCTCGGATATTGAAGAGTGCTGTGAGATTCTTGTCAAAGTGACGTCCCCCCAGAAGGAAGAATTTTTGGCTTCGGACTTTTTCCACTGGTTACAAAACCTAGAGATAGTGATGGAGACTTCGCGGGGCGTCTTACTTTTAAGCCAAACAGGCATTTAAAGATTGTTTCTCCTGCAGGTTGCCTCATGGATAGCGGCCCAGTTCAAAAGGGGTGTGCGTCCACCCGCCTCGGCAGAACAACTGGTGCACATGAGAACCAGCGTATTGAGCCGTTCTATAAACGCGGCAGTCTCCAAGCGCCAGGAACTTTAATTCTCAACGGAGTTCAACACTCGGTTTCGCCCGTGCACTCCCAAAAGACGGTGAACTACTGGCGGGCAAGGCGCTCCGAAGCATAATTTTCTTTGTCGTGTCTGCTTTCCTAACGATATCCTAATTTTATGCGTGTATGAGGCAAGATAGAAGGTTACATATGCTCTTTCCTTCTGGACTCGGGGGCAGCCCGTTCCCCACTAAACCCGCAAGCCTTCTCCATGGTTTGCAGCAAGGCTAATATTACCCCATCGATTACCATTACTACGCTCTGCAGAAAAGACATCAGTAACAGGAGAACCTTCTATCAGAGTATCAATCGGGAGGGATAGCTGTGAGGTGAATTTGTACTGTGTCCAGAACTTGCCTGGGACGTGCTGCTAGGAACCGACTTCTTACGCCAGTCCCGCGCGACTATGGATATTGATACAGGCATGCTTATAATCCATTGAAGGTCCAAGAAGAAGCATTCGATCCCTAAGCCGAAGAAAGATGCAGAGGATATATGCGGATCCCTTTTCGTCGCTCTTGACGTCCCCGGGACCAATCTGAACGATTGCTGTGCTCAACTAAAACATGTTACTGAGGCTGAGAGGAAGGAACTGCACTCACTCCTGACGAATTACTCCCAAATTTTCTCCTGGGAGGGTGTGAAACTTGAACGAACCAGCATAGTCAAACACAGAATTGATACTGTTGGGGCCAAAACAGTCTGGAAGCCGTCTAGACGCATACCACCGCCTCTCCAAGACGAAGTACATCGACTGATTGACGAGATGCTACGCGATAACGTTAGCAGGCCCTCGCAGTCACCCTGGGCCTCCTCCGTCGCATTAATTAAAAAGAGCGACGGCAGTCTTCGTCTTTGTGTCGATTGTAGGAGACTCAATGCAGTAACAAAGAAGGATGCGTTCTCTCTACTCCACATTAACGACTCGTTAGACTCTGCAAGGAGCGAAGTGGTTCTCGCCATTGGATCTGAAGCCCGGCTACTGGCAGGTGGAGGTAGTGAAGGATAGAGAAAGAACAGCCTTCATTGTGTCAAATGGACTGTATGAGTTCCAAACGATGCCTTTGGGGCTTTGCAACGCGGCGGCCACCTTCCAGCGAATTATACAGACGGTATTGAGCGGCCTATTCAAGAAACACTATATTATCTACCTGGACAGCATTCTCGTTTTCGAGAGTGACATTAAACAACATAACTCCAACCTCCGATTAGTGCTAGATCGCCTTCGGGAAGCAGGTCTGACGCTAAATCTGAAGAAATACAGATTTCTCCAAAACTCTGTCACTTTCCTGGGACACAATTTCTGCAGATGGGATGGCGGTCATGGAACACAGAACAAGACAAGTGAGGACTTGGCCGACACCTACCAATCAAACGGAACTTCGCGGCTTCCTTGGCTTGGCTAACTATTGTCGGAGTTTTGTAAAAGGTTTCGCCAAGATCGCAAGTTCCCTATACAAGTCGACCGAGTAGAAAGCAGAAGAGGAGTTTCGTTGGGAAAACGAACACACAGAAGCGTTTAAGGAGTTAAAGCGTGCCCCTGCGCGGCGCCGACGTTGACTTTACTAAACTTCAGTGCCGAGGCGGTGCGTGGAGTTCTATCCCAAGGAGACACAGACGGGAGAGGACATATGATCGCGTACTCCAGCTCGCATCTAAGCAAAAAATGAAACAGAAGAGTGCAATGTAACGGAGACTTTTCGCGATTTATACAATGGTCAGGCATTTTAAGCACTACTTGATAGGAAGGCAGTTCGTTGTGAAGACAGAATATCAAGCGGTGACATGGTTGAAGACGATGAAGGAGGTCGACCGCTCGGTTGCAAGATGGCGCGAAGAACTCCAACAACATGATTTTACAGTGTAATATAGGAAAGGAAGCTCTCACGGCAATGCGAATGCTCTTTCACTGAGACTTTTATCCCCGTTCACGGGTAGCAACACAGTAGGTGTGCTGTTATTGAGCGAACCTATTTCCGACTCCGATATAGCTTTATTTTATTGGAGACTGAGGACATCCTAGGCCAAGCCCACAGTTGAGGAGATGAGCTCGATGAGTAAGAGAGCCAAGCAAATATGGCAGAATTGGGGAAAACTCTCTCTAGAAGACGACGTTATATGGCACAAGGACAAT